CAGTGAAATATATTTATGTTTGTGGTTGTAATGTGACAAAATATGGAAAGTTCAAGGGGTATGAATACTTTTGCAAACCACTGTATTTATCAAGGGAGGCCTGGGCCTGACGGCAACCTATTGTACGTGTTTTTGGGTGTGTGTGGGAAACCGGAGTACCCAGAGAAAACCCACGCAAGCACAAGGAGAACATGCAAACTCTGCACAGAAAGACCCCAGGTCCGAACYGGGRATCAAACCCAGGACCTTCTTGCTGTGAGGTGTCRGTGCTAACCACTGAGAGGTTGTGCTGCCAGTTTCATAAGCAGCTCATTCAGTGGCAGTTTMACAGTGACATGTTTCCAAMTTTGGGTCGGCGTTGTCGAGTGCGTGCCGCAACTCAAAGGAAACAAGAAGYGCCTCGTGCCCCGACCCACAATGTTTTTAGTGCAGTGTTAGTATTAGCAACCCTGAAGGGCTAACTGCCAGTGGTGGGCCGCGCTAATCCAAAAATTAGCTCCGCAATTTCTAAAGCACTTATAAAAATATTTAGGTCTGCAACTTCATAAATGCTTATGTCATAGAAAATTAGTGGAAGCTTATTCCAAAGCACAAGTTCAATTTGACACTTACTAGCTGGCAACAACTGTACAATATGTATATGTACAACACTGTCAACTAGCGGTGTATGAACCCTTGTACAGCTTAACCATACAAGAGTCGATTGTTGGAGATGTGATTTCCTGAAACAGAACTTTAGCTCCTGGTGTAAAAATTAAAACTTTGTTGAGGCTTGCTATTTCGGCTGATTCTTAAAAAAGTTGTTGAGGATTGCTACTTCGGCTGCTTCTTTGTCTTTTTCTTTTGTTTGTTGAAGCTTTTTCATTAAAGAAGCATCAATAAAGCGATTTTAAAACTGTTTATTGGAAAACTGAAGCAATGCATTCTGGGTATACATGACAGATTTGATTTGTGACTGGAAATTAAAGTTTTCCATGTAGTTGCACCAGTTGACCACTAGACGTCAGTCTTCATCAGCATAACATCTTTAAATAATTTCGGAATCTGTAACCCTGTTGCTTCGACCAGTTAGATCAAGTATTGAGCTCCAGCGTTTAAATGTATTTTTTAAAAAAGGAGCTCTGATTGTAAAGTAAAATAAATCAATACATATAAAATTTTAGTATGGATTACAAAGGTTTACTGTTTTTTTGCTGGGAAAGAGTACTAAACATTGCCTTCCTGCTATGTAAGCAGACACAAAGCATTGTGAGAAATGAGAACTGTGACCGAAAGCAACAGTCAGCAAGGACGTCAATACATTTCCAATAATTGTGTTTATCTGGGAGGGGTGCTGTTGGACAGATCATGTGTGTTGTGATTCATTGACAGCCATACCTTCCACTGTTCAAGATAATGATGACTGGTAGATAATTAGTCATTAGTTGTACTGCATTTTAATTTTAGAAAGTGCAAATCTGCTTATGGATTATAAAAATTAGTAAGACCGCTAAAGTGCAAACGAAATATTTAGGTCTGCAATTAGTGGATTTGTGCTTTAGCGGACTGGTGCCCACCACTGCTAATTGCTGTCATGGCGCTTAGCAACGGTGCCTCATGAAGTCCAAAACGGCGCATGTTTCCTGTTGGTTTRGGTCAAGGCCGATCTATGTTCACACCAGAAGCAAACCGCACCAAAAATCGTTTGGAAGCGGACCGGGACCTCCTCAAAAACGGGTCTCGGCCCGGTTGTTTGGTCTTCACCAGCATTCGCATGAGTGTATTCACACCTGTGTAAAAGGTCCAGACCARCGTGGTAAATGAACTCTGGTCCATTTAAAGCTGGTGTGAATACACTTTTACTTTTGTCAGTATCAAGTTATTTCTGTGACCACTGAGGTTTTCATTTTTTAACAAAAGGTTACAAACAAATGTAKTTGTTTACCTTGGTGCCCTCAGGTCCTGGTTCTCCTAGCGTGCCATCTGGACCTCGGGGCCCCTAAACAACAGCAACATAAGATACACAATTTAAAAGTCAACACACACACACACACACACACACACACACACACACACACACACACA